AAATGTGTGAAATTGGGGGCAATACCATATGGGAATACTTAGAATGGTCCACATTTCCATTACAATACGGCAATATATAAAATTCTTGAATTAATTAGGGAAAATGGTCCACACTCCCCAAAATGAATTAAGGTAAACTCAATACACATTATATTTATATAAAATTTTCTCTCTTAAAACATAGTTATTAATAATTACCTTCCAAACAAATGTGGACAATTTAATAATTATGTTTGGGTAATTAAACCACATGCAGAATTTAGCATTCAATAAATATAAATAAGAGTAATGTTATTCACAGTAAAAACTATCAACAGTCATCATACATAGTTTTTTATTGCCTCATTCATCAAATAATAAACCGTTATGTGTATGTCATGTAGAAAAATTATCGATAATTTTCACTATCAATAATTATCAAATAAAAAACATATTTAAATAATAACATTTATACAGTAATTTATAATAAAAATATGACATGCAATATAATACAATTTATCAATTGGGCACTTGACGTCGTCATAACATCTCCGTACCATCCATTATAATAATCATTAGTTTATAACAACTTTTATAGTCAGACAGTTAAATTAAAATTTAGATAAATTCACCACATTCTTAAAGAACATAAATATAGGGCCCTAGATAGTGTGGTGTTACAGCTTTAGTCACCTATGAGAAGTTGTCGATGATCATTGATTGTATGACTGTTGATAATGATGAATAAAACCAGTAGATGTTCATTATTTAAATGAAATTATCGACAGCGATACGTTGTTGGTTACTGACATGCCATGTGATGATAATATTGTTAGTGATATTGTTGGAAATCACCAGTGATGCATCAATCAACGCAGTGTCGCAGTGTTACACACGAAATTTCTCTTTATATTTCTTATAAAATACTGATACATTAGTTAAAATATTGTTTTTGTTCTTTTTTCTTACAATATTGTCAACTTACAAATTGTTTTTTTAACTTTGATTTTCTTCCTGATAAATTCTTTTTATTTATTGATGAAAAATATTTTTTGATCAATTAAATTATTAAACTATTTGTGTGTGTTCAAGATTTCTAACTAAAAAAAAAAAATCTTTTGTAGTCTTTAATTATTTGTTTTAATGTTACTAGTTGCGGACACAATTTTTTCATAAGAAAAAATAAAGACAAAATATGTGAATTTTAAAAATTGGAACCTTGGATAAATTGGAGACTTTGGACGATCGTCTAACACGCTTAATGCTTGAGTTGGCTAACATCTTTTGCCATCATGTTGAGATGACTTGAGAGGGGATATATGGCTAGCGTCTTCTTGCGATGGTATAGATATGGTTCGGTTTCAAGATATTCGAGTAAAGAAATGGAATAAGTCACTTTGTCAAATATTTTTGTCCACCTACTTGACCAATGCAATGGTGACAGCAGTTGATCGAATGAAAAATCTGATTATTTTTTAAATAGTTTAATGATAGAATGACACGTAGCATTCTATCAAAGAATATGAGTTCTAAATATAAACATACTTTGCAATATATCTTTTGAATTGAAAACCCGTTAAATGGAGAGTTCAAAAATAACAAGCTAAAATTGGCAGCTAAAATTATATTTAATAATCAATATATGTATTTTTTAATCTTTTTGGCATCATTTTTTTCAACTTATTTTTGAACTTTGTTCTTCACTCATCATGATAAATTTTGATACAATTTCAAAGTATTAATGATATGGCAGTCTAGCTTACCCTTGATATGTAAATTTATTACCAAACAACTGGTACCTCTTGGACAATTCAAGGGAATTTTTTTTACCAAGATAATCCAATTCTACTTTTTTTTTCTTGCTCATCACTCAAATTTGCTTATCTAACTTATATTTTTATTTCCGTTTAGACTTTTTTGTGTGTAAACCTAATGGTAAATCTCACGTGGCTGATAGAATGCTTAGTAAATGAGTAATTAACTTAACTAACAAATTTAAATGGGATCGCACAAAGATAAATTTAAGATTCTTAAGTCACCTGATCTTCTAACTTTCCGTCGTGCTTTTCCCATTCTTTCATAATTCGTAGACTCTAGTTGCCAATATATATAGATGAGGGTAGCAAGGATGGATGGAGGGGGGGCTGGACCGGGCTACAGCCCCCACCCCCACCCCCCCAACTGATTTTTTTTTAGTTTAAAAAAAAATTATGTACGTCTTAGTCCATTCTGTAATCAGGTCCTGAATTCGTCCCTGGATAGTAGTATTTTAAAAGGCCATTGCAAGATTAATTCCTACTTAATCTTGAACAGTGCTCGAGTTGGCAAAAAAATGGATCGAACTTCTGAAATTTGTCATTAGTTTTAACCTTAATTTGGTGGTCTCACTTGGGATTGAGCAAGTTTTTTAAGTTTTTCTCTCAATTTCGAATTCTCTAACCCGAAATAAGTAGAGGGACAAAACATAAATTCCAGACTCCACATGTCTCGACAATTCATGCACAGGCTTTTTTCTCGTACGTACTTGCTGCCTGCCTCTGAATTCTTCATATTAATGCCAGCGTTTTTCTAATGTGCCCGGCTCGTGATATATGGTACTATATCATTATCAAGTGTATGTTTAGTACGTTTGTAATCTTACGTTTCTACTCACATTTATTGTCATTCAAAATCTAATGTTTTGAACATTATTACGAAACTTTTAAGCTAAAAAATCCTCTAAATGAGTAATGAAGAAGTACAAACTTAGGAGCTTATTTGTTTGTTGCAATAAACTAAATTGTAGAAAGAAAGAATTTAAGTTCATTACTTTAAATCAAGTGAAAGAACACCAAAAGATTTCATCAATGGGTTGTTTGATAAAATTTTCGATAAAAAATTTAGCAAATTTTGATAAAAGTCAATAAAATATTTTGTTGAAAAATTGATAAAAGTTGTGAACTCATGAAATGTATGGTTAAAATTTAAGTTTGACCAATTAAAAAATTGATAAAACTTTATGACACAAGCACTACGATAATCAAAGTAGAGAGTGAAAGCATTTTGTTTTCGAATTTCTAATTAGTACAATGTGAAAAAAAAAAAAAAAAAATTGTTTCCATTTTATTTGAATGATCTGAATTTCTTGTTAGTACAAAACAGAGGCGGCCTGAGGGTACAGAGGTGGTGCGACAGCACATGCCTTAGAATTGTTATATATTTTTGGTTCTAGAAGGGTAAATTTTTGTTATATGAAAGAGGCGTCATTAAGTTTTTTTTATTGGTGCCTGTAAGCTTTTTTTAATTTCATGAAAGGGGCGCCATTTTAAAATGTCGCACGGGGCACCCAAAATTTCAGAGCCGATCCTAGTACAAAACATAAAATCCCAATATTAATTAGACATCGCCATGGCTTCAGAACAAACTTTGTTATGTAAAATTATAAATTTCACTGGCTTCTTTAATTGTGTCCAAATTTCCAATTTTACTGTTTCACTTTTTTTATTCACAAAATATGATATAAACAAGTAGATTTTTAAAATATGAAGGTGAGGTGAATCCCATAATTTATAGGAATGTATTTAAGATTTTAAACCACAGAGTTGGAGTTGATTTAGGTTGAGTCAAGGAACTATTTACCCAATCTAGGGTTAATTGGGTCAAGGATCCATTGACCCAATCTAAAGTTAATTAGACCCGACTAAGGATTGCGTGACTTGAATTAAGGTTGAATTGACGAGTGCTTAGCAATGGTATTTAAGAATATTCAGAAGTCCATAAGAGTCGACTGAGTACTGATTCACTTGGATTAAGGTCTAGTTGACAAATATATTCGTCTTTGTAGCTATGATAGTAAAACCTTTTTGGTTGTCCACGATGATGAAGCTTCATTTAGCAAAATTTATAAATGATCAAATTTCATTTTCAACCACTTTTCAATATATCCACAAGTACAATCTACTTATTCATCACTCATTTATATCTATTTATAATTTTCCCAGAAGGAGACTAAGTTAATTATGCTTGTAAATATGCCCTCTATTGTGCTAATTGGGCTCTCACTATTCATATGGGCTAGCTGATTGGGTCCAATATTGTTTAAACCGGGTTCTGGTCCAATTGCCTAGAATCGTGTTCGATGAAAACACGATTTTGCTTCTTAAGTGATTGGTTTATCCTGGCCTTACATGTAGTCATATTCTGTCCGTTGGATTTGATTTTTTTGACGGACTATAAATAATTTTGCCAAGCGTTTTTTTACACTGTATTGAATATATGTATTGGTTAGGGTTCTCTCTCTCTCTCTCTCTCTCTCTCTCTGTTCTGTACTCTTGGTCTTTGTGATTCAATCTCTGTAATCTTTGGTAGATTTCTTAGCTGTACTTAATGTGCAAGTTGTGAGGTTGTAAGGAGTACTGTGTAGATTTGTTATTGGGAGGCTAGAGAAAACTTTCAGTGAAGAAATCTCGATCTATAATTAATTTTTGGTGATTTTAATTAATTCAAGCGACATCTAGTTAGTAGATGTTCAATGGGGTACTTATGCCTTTTAGCTGAACATTCGAGTCCCAATGAGTGAAAAATCTGTGTTTATTTTCTATCTTATGCGATTTTACGTTTAGTCACTTTTTAAGTTTTTTGACAAACTGTAGTTATTTGGTGATTCTTAAGACCAATCCCCTCCATTTGGATACGTAGCTCAATATTCAAGACTGCATATAAAAGTACTCGAGGAGCATTTCTTGATCTACCGTCTCCTAGTCACTACAATAAGTTTCATCTGTCTGATCAAGTGCTTTAATTCAATCGTCAAGTCAACCACTGCTCCACATCTGGTCATCTATTTTCACGAAATAAAAAGTCAAAAAGACCAGTCTCAAACGTTCTTCATTCCATTTATACTGTCGTTTTACAAGAAATGCACATCAATTTAAAGAGAGGATGTAAGAAATAGAAAAAACACGTTGAAGGAAGGTGTAGAATATTTATAAATGAATACAAAATTTTACCAAAGTACGTGAAAAAGGTAATATAAGCCAAGATCACATGCTCCCAACTCTACCTGTAGTAGATTTGTTTGGTTTGAATTTAGAAATGTCCACAAGGTCACCAAACAGCTTGTCCTCTGCCTTCGGGAGCTTCCCGGATGGGGCATGAGATGGAGTCGAAACTTGATATGAAAAGTTCCTGATGACATCGTCGTCCTTCACAGATAACCCAGTCATGCTTTTCTCAAGGAATTGAGAATTTGGTTGTTGGCTGTAACCATAGCCGTAGCTCGACTTTTGGTTGCCATATACTTGTTGAGGGTACATATACGCCATTTGATCAGATTGCATTGGCTGAGGAAACATAGTCGTTGACTGCAAACTGAGGATTGGTTGAGAATGCAAGCCTGCCAGTTGGTTGTTCTGTGTAGCTTGTTTGTCGATTGCTGTTAGATATTCCATATTGAATTGCTGAACGTACGTACCTACAGCCGGTCCATTTGACACAGGTGGTGATCCTTGAAAATATGTGCCACTGGGCAACGGCTGGGACTGAATCATTACCACTTGTGAAACTTGCATTTGACTCGGGGATTGACCATTGGGCAACTGGTTGTTGTCAACTTGCTGAGGTTCCCATGGTGGAGGTGGAAGTGCACCGTGAATTTGGGCACCTATCAAACAAAAATAGGCATAAGAAACTTGGACATCGGCATTTTAATGCCAAATAATAGCACAAGTACACCAATATTACAAGTTATGAAAATTAGACAATCCCCAAAAGCCTGGCCAACTGTAGGAACAAAAGCTCCAATTCTATACCTCTTTGACAAGTTTCAAAAGAAAAACAAAATGCAAACTAGACACGCACCATAAACTGTTGAAGGTGGCGATTGTTGCTCTGTTATGTGACCATTCCAGGCAGGAGAGCCTTGTGAATCAAGTGATTGTTCATACACTAACATGTTACTAGGAACACTTCCTCCATTTGGAAATAATGATGATTGCGGAGATTGAAAATTCTCTTGTTTCTGAAATAGAGGAATCAAAGGATAAGATTGTCCAATGGAAATTGTGGACTGGTTATGATTACTTTGCGAAAACATGTCAACAGGAACGAGGGCATTCTGCAGAGATAGAGGACTGCCTAGCTGAGGCTCTCCTACCGGACAAACTGACGGCGAGTTTGCGTCTGCAGGTGCGTTCAAGCTATTGCCACTCAAAAGATCTAACGTCTGTTCAGCCTTTGATTGATATGTTGATGGACCATCAGTTGAAGGAATAGCAGGAAGTAATAACTGTGTCGCTAAACCTGCAGTGGATGTGGATCTGAAAATGAAAAACATGGCAATTAACTTTTTAGATATGTTTTACAAAATGCTGAAATATCAAAACAGTCATATTCGTTAATTTCACGAACAAACAACTTAACCAGAAAATCATATAGTATGCAAAGAGTTGAAAAGAACATCTAAAATGTACTAACTGTAGACAACATTGAATCACAAACTACATAGACATTACTTTGATATCTAAGAAAGAGAATCAAATGCGTGACAACTTTATAACTTTATCAAATGGTAGCCTTTTCTTTACTCACTTTTTCCCAGATGGAAAGAGGAGGTGATCATAAAAGGTGAATAACTTATACCAATGTCCAAGTGCACGGACATGAATGCCATTGGGAAAGAATCTAATATCCAGAAAAGTATATGCACAGGAAAGAATTTTGATGCTGTTGCTGGATTCTCTACAGAGTCAAGTTCTCTCTTTTAAGTAGTTCTGCCCCATCTCTCATCATCTTGTTTAAGGTTTATAGTGCAAAACTTTTGGAAAAACATTTGAGCACTTCAGGACTGTAGATGGATAATTTTTGATAACGCTAAATGAAATGATAATATACAAGGATAAACAACAAATAAAGAGGCCTATTCCAGGAACAATTTGACCAGTACTTCAAAGCCTAGTACAAAATTTACCCTTTGTCTGATTGTTTGCTATCTCCTGTGTCAATAAGAGGAGCATCAACATCTACCAAGGATCGAATAGGTTCAGGTTTTGGTTTCTCTGATGGAACATTGTTTCCAGAAGCGATAAATTCATGCTTGGCCAATACACGTTGCAGGTCATCATTCAGTGATAGTCCTTGGTTTAACAGTGATTCATCCCTACATCAGGTGAATTTCAAACTTAATTAGGAAGCACATTGGTAGCATTTTATTTCAGTCAAATAATGCTCTAATCGTAGCCAGAAAGTTTCATGTAAAATCACTGTTCAAGAAATAATAACAATAATTATATTCTCATTCTTGTGAAGGACATAAATGTTGAAAGTGCACGAGATAATAACCATATGAGATTGTGGCAAGTTCTTATAACTTTGAAGTCGATTACTGTATATGATGACATCAACTATGTAGCTTATATTGGTCACTTCCCTATATCAAGTTATGAAGTAGCCTAAATGCTTCCTGAAAAACTTCCCTAACGCTACTGTTTCTTCAAGCTATGGTGCAAAGCCATGAAAAATTTCAAGCAACAAGATCCAGTAGTACATGTATTTCTTTCCCTTTTAAATGAGCGCTGGCAGCTTACTTCACCAGGCACTTAGGAAAAGATATTCTCAAAAGAGAAGTGCCATGTACAAACACATAAATCTGTCAGGCAACTGAACCAAAATTCCACCCTTTCCACAAAATGAACTTCTCTACCCACATTATTTTTTCTTCGGTGCTCACTGATGGAATTTTTCCCTTGTGCAGAAACTATTTCCTCCCAACTGTTGAACCATTAAAAGATTTTGTTAGGGAGGAAACACATTTATTTCTTAAAATTTGGTCTTCATCGTGCCCCTTGCACGCCAGCCAAATTCAGTTTATGTTTAAAGGCCAGAAACATGCACATTTGTCATAAATAGGTGATAGCGAAACTTAATTCCAAGATCTTTGCCTGCTACAATTCCATGTTAAACTACCTCATTTAAAATCTTAAGCAGTCAGAAATGAGACGTTTTTATTATTTATAGTTAAAGCATAATTGGGAAGTGTTTATAAACGATTCAAATTATAATTAGATAGAAATAAGTATTGGATAAGTAGTTAGTACTTGTAGGTCCATGAAATGTGTGGATAAAAAGTGGTTTGAAACAGTTTATAAACATAAGATTTTAAAACGTTCCCCAAATAACATTCAAGACACAATTTGATCAGAAACAAAATGATACATCATAAACATGTCCAACAGTAGTAATACCACCTTATTTGCTTCACACCATTTGTAAAATCAGAACTTGACACTGATTTTATATAAATAGCTCATCTCGCCATTGGTTGCCTGCCTAAGCTAGTCTTTTTATTCTCTTGTTTCTTTTAGTGGTTTGAAATGGCCCTTTCCCTCTTGGGCCCACTTTGATGGTTGGTCCAACTTGGTTTGGCCCTCTTGTTAGTTCCATGGCTATGCATGGCCCCAGTTCACGGGTCCACTTTTGTACTGCCCATTGGAGGTGAGGTTTGGCCCCACACTTTAAGGCTTCTTTACATTTCAGCCCATGGTAGGTCAGGCGTAGCCCCTCTACCTATGGTGTTGTACTTTTCTTTGTTATTAATAAAACTCCACCTCGTGTGGTTTGATTAAAAAGAAATGGCTCATCTCACCAAGTGATCCCATCATGTTCTCTATTTTCTTCAGTTTTTGAGAATAGATTTAGGATATAGAAATACCATAATCCATGCACACAAAGAATAGGACTACAGCAGGGGGATAAAAGAACTAAACAAAAAAGGATATAAAGCTCTTGACCAACTAAGCCATTTTATTACTTGGACGTTCTATGTGATGTTTCAATATTTCATGTCATTCATCTCTCTCAAGCCTCATCCTTTCTAATTGCTACATCAATTTATTAGAAATAAAATGTGCCCTATTTCATAAACAAAACAGTGACAAGAAAATAGTCACAAGATGAAAAACAGAGATGCTTTAAAAATCACAACTACAAAAATGCACATGATGCTTAGTAGGAAAGTAAAACAAGGCTTACGAAGTTGAGTTAACAAGCTTTACAACTCTTTTCTTGTAAGTCCGACACTGTTCCACCAAATCAGCAATTGCATCCTGCATGTGTCCCTAACATCCATAAAAAAATTGTTAAATTAAAAAATAACATAGTGCACAACAGAATTGGGAGGAAGAAATATAGCTTACTGGGGAAAAGTGAGATTGTGTGTCAAATAATTTCATTTATATATCGCCAGAATCTAATAGCTCAGCAATCTTGTAAAAAGTACATCCCTCATCCCATAATTATTCCACGTCCAGTTTATATCATAATTAAAATGGATTCCATTTCAACTATTGTGATGTACAAGTAAATGGTTAACAACCAACAGATTTCGGTATACCTCTTTGTTCCCCGGATTGACTTCATTCAGCATTTCTGCAAGGACATTGATGACACCACGAGCGAACTGAATTTCTTTCAAGCTAACATAAAAAGATTTGGTCATTTAAATCAAAGTTCGTAATGGAAATCAACCATATCAATCTAAAATCCATGTCTGCTTCAAATTTCCGGCAAGTCCATGAAAAAGATTTAGTCATCATAAATAAAAAGCACGCACGTGCAATCAACAGCATAATCCACACGCATTCCGTATTCTTGTCTAACTCACTAAAATTTTGTGATCATAATAATGGCAATCAACAATATAGATTCTCTTGGTAGAGGTAAAACAAGTATGTTCTATCAAGGTAATAGCTTAAAAAGGTCCAAACACCAATAACTTGGAAAGATAGCCACTTATTCTCCAAAACGACAAAAATGACATGAGAATGATATAATAGAATATCAAACTGAGCATCATGGATAGTAATATGAATACATGCCTCCTCCTAGAATTCATTGCAGATACTGATACCCAGAGGAACACAAAATTCAAACTAACAAGTCTTGAAACACAGCTTAAGAATATATCATTCACCGTGAAGGACTAAGAAGTGATTCTTTTTTAGTTTTTCATTTCTCATCTAGATTATCCCTCATTTTGTGTACCTTTCTTTAGATAAATATTTTTTCCTCTTAAAAAACTTCAAAAGGAAATAAAGACGGTAAAATCAAGAAGTCAATGCCAGTGTAACCATTAGAAATCAACATATGTTCGTCTTCCTATGAGATAATTTGTATGCATTTATTTCAAGAATGTTTTATGCAAAAAATGTCTTGCCCAATTGGTATCAGGATTCAACTTAAGTCTCTCATATGATGGAGGACTTGGGTTCGAATCCTGGGGGACACGTCAGAAAGCCGTGAGGGGTAAGATGGGCCTAGGCTCTCCCGAAGCGGACAGTACGTAAGATAACGGCTCCGGTGAGAGGTCGGGTCGTTACATGAACAACTATTAAAGTATCGTAGAATTAATCAATCAATTGATCTGTTATCCATATGTTTTGCATGCTTTTCCACTATTTGAAGTCTACAAAAATAAATAAGTAAAAAAAGCATAATTGAAAAGGAAGCCATTATTCTTAGGGACTGAATTTTCAAGTCACCGTGTCCAGTAAAATGACACGTATCGAATAATTCAGGCTATAGAGAGAGAGGAAAAAAAGGCACAGAATCTGCTAAAATGGACAAACTCTCGGACTTGTCTTCCTTTGACAACACCGATGGTCAAGATAATGTACCTCAATGTTGGAAATTCAGCTTGAGCGGTAGACTCGGCTTCGTCAAGTCTAGATTCTGGACTTTGAAGATTTTGCGGATAAGATGTTAGAGGATGTGTTTGTAGGGGCGTGATAACAGGTGCTGACCTATCAGTTCTCTGAGGGAATACTGCTCCGATAAGCTGATATATTATGCAATAAAATACAGATATTTTAATATTAAAAATAAATCAAAGAAAGCATAATTTGACAGCAACAGAATGGAAGCAACAATATCCGCATTGTCTAGGGGCAAGAATATTTAGGACTGAAACATCCTTAAAAAATACCAATAAATCATGATATGCAGAAAAGTATTGAGGATATCTGGCCCCCACTCCTCCAAAAGCTTCTTGCCAAGTATCTATCAGAGTTAGTATCTTCTCTTTAACATGAAAATCAGGCTGCAATAAGAAAAGGTGGCGTCTCTGACTATCTATACCCAAAACAAAAATGAAAACAAAAGCGTGCAGCATTATGTGCAACCAATTACCTTCTTTTTGACCATTTTCACCATTGCAGGAAGCACACCTTTCTCAGCAACAAGCATATGGACAATATCCATACAGTTCTTTACAATTGTCTCCAAAAGCTAGAAAAAAGCATGATATACATTACAACTTGAGACAACAGTAGTTTTAGAGGCAACGGTGGAAATATTTTGAAGAATTCTAATTCAAGCAACCCTGGAACCTAATTCTATTATTCCAGTTTTTGTTAAGCACCGTTATGCCAATTCTGTCTTTCCATCAAAGTAATATGATAAAAGATATTAGCTTTTCTAATTTATTTTCCAGCTTTCGTTAAGCACCTACTTGCCATTTCTGTCTTTCCATCAAAGAAATCTTTACTATTTTTTGATAAGAAGATATTAACCTTTTTTTATTTATGGAAGTACGTAAAAATTCAGAACATAATTCAACTTACTGTCAGGGTAAGAAGCTGGGTTTTTGGATTTTTGCTGCCTAAACGCTTCTTTATACGTTTTACCGCATCTTTTGCATGACTGATAACAATAACCAAAAATGCAAAAGATAGATTTCAGCAATTATAGACTAGTGAAGTGAATCCTAATACCAACATTAACATGAAGAAAAACAGAATTCTTGAATAAAATGGGCTGGAAATAAAGGAATTCAAATCTAACAACTCAATTTGGTCATTTTCAAAGCACTGCTTAAGCAAATATCATAGCTGTACTCTTCATCTTTTTTAAAATTATCAAAATTGATACATCCAAATGAACATAAACTATAGCAGCCCCGCAGTGAAATCACATTTACATACAAAAAGCAACACCACAAAACAGGATTCCAAGAAAATAGTATTTCTATTCCCTTCATCTCATTTTCTGTTCTTTTATTATATTTTTTATACTCATAAACTATGAAGCACGGATCCAAACACGGGACATGGAACACACCAACACGTATGCTTTCAAAAAAGTAGGACAGAAACACTTGGGGAACATGACCAGTAATCCTTCAAAATCATATGTTCATATATCGTGTGTTTATATTAATACTTAACTTTTCAATATAATTAATACTGTTTTTATCATTGATTTTGGACTTTGCAGGTGAAAATTTTGAAATTTAGGAGTGGATTTGCATCTCTGAGTTCTACTTTCTATTACTAGTCCATTAACTTATCATCAAGAATGGTCACCTACAGCTACGTATCATGTGAACATAGGAGTGAAAACTGTATAGGCAGTAAATCAACAATAATAAGAAAACAGGTGATTAAATCAAATTACACGAAACAAGACAGAAGCAGAAGATCAAGAATATCAGCATTACTCATTTACAGCATTTAATTTGGATGTTTGGCTAAGCTTATTGGTTTACTTCTAAGTAAATAAGTTTTAACAAAAATTATTTTTATTGGTCAAAGATAATAATTGAAGTTATTTAATTTGACAATAAGGTAACCTATTTTACCAAAAAAAAAACCATTAGCAACTTTACTATTTTTTAAAGATTATATCAAGTGACTTTAACCTAAAAACAGTCATCTAATGCTGCTCATAAGCAAGAAAGCAGTTAAAACCATAAATCCACACTCTTAACAAGGCTTTCGAAATTCCTAATATTCAACCAAATTATTTTTCTGCGCTATTTCATGAAGATAATAAGAGAAAGCCATGACCAACTGAAGAAAATTCGCACACCCGAAAAATTACAGAGCAATTCAATGAATGAATTTCGATTAAGATATGAACTCATACTCAATATTTCTATTTTTATTTCGGGTAAATAAATCAAGTGTAAGAAAAAGAGAAGTTGACAAAATTACACCGGATCGCGATTGCAAATATCACAAATCTCAATATTCATAGCCCAATCAGGACCGATCAGCATGTTGCTCGTTGCTCTGTCCACCATTGAATTCATCATCTTTCTAGTTCACCTTTCTTCTCAAAACCTCGCCCGTCGGAACCAATCGGAATCTGCTTCGTAATCTCACCTCCGGCGAAAACAGAAGTCCACAAAGGACACGCGAGTATAATAAAAGTCAAATAAATATATATTATCTAATTAAAAAAAAGAAAAAGGAATGCAACAACTTCTCTGCATTTATACTTACTCGTTTGAGAAAATGTATTAATTTTTGGCGGCCTTAGATTTCGAGGGAAATAAACCAATAGGTCGTGGACATGTGGAGGACGATGGCCGACTATATGGACAGCGCGTTTGTTTGATGGAGAATTATACATGTGCACCCTCTTTTTTATCTAATTTTTTACCTACACTCAATAAATTTTAATTTTTTTTTAAATAAACGTTTTAATTTTTTTTTCAAGTAAGGTTTTTTTTTAATTTTTTAAAATTTATTTTATATATATAATGCAAAGTTATCGTTTTACCCCTTTTAAAAATTAATAAAAATGGTAAAAAAAAGTTGAGTGGTCATGGTAAACTGTTATATGAAATTGGGTGATCATAATTAAACGTTATATGAAATTGAATGACCTTGGTGAAATAAAATCAAATTGGATGATCATGGTGACACTAGGTATAAAGTTGAGTAGTCATAATGAAACAAAATCAAGTTCGATGGTCATGGTGATACTAAGGATGAAGCTGGGTGGCCACTAACCCATCTACTAAAAGATCCAACAAAATATTAGTCGAGGATTGACATCTTATCCATTCAGTCCCTTTTGTTGGGTTTTAAGGATTAACAAGAGGTTTATCTTAACGAAAACAAAAGATACAAAAGACCGATGTGCAAGAAATGAAACAATAGGGCAAAAAGTGCAGGACAAGCAAAATTTTGAAGGCACATAGCCTGACCCAGAAGCTGGACAGGCTTGGACTCTATGAACTAGATTTTGACCTTTTTTCTTGTTTAACGATGTTTAATCGTGCTTAATACCGTATACCAAACTTTACGTGAGATCTAATGCTTACAAAATATACAATCTTTCATGCCGAGACAACAAGAAGCATCAAATGCTGAGTTTTTTGTATTCCATAATGCAAATATAGTTCTTCGCGATTGTGTTTATTACACAGAATTCACGAGACAACAACCTTGACTGAATCAAAGTTTTGTCAGAGAAACCTGTCCATGCTTTATGATGTGCAGATATTAAACAAGGAAACCATGCTACATTGCCAGAATTTTTTGTCATTATCCTTGACAGAATGTAACACGACATTCTATTATTGGACCGTTTAAAAAACAGTCAGTTTTTTCATACAATCATGTGTTGTCTCCACTACATCTGTCAAGTAGGTAGGCAAAAACATCTAGCAAAGTGGCTTATTCCTAAACAAGGTTGTACTAGCTGGTCATCCATCGCCACCATCTTTAAACTTTGACGTTGAGCTGAAGAAAGAAGTGTAATCAGGTTAATAATGAACTGGAACTCTGACCGTGGTTGGACCCGATTTCATGTCCTCCAAAATGAGATTTAGGAGGTCCCGAGTCACTGGACCTTCTTTGCCTGCAACGAACGATGAATAATATTTGATAAGTAATCCAAAAGGCGGAATTAATTGGGAGTCCAAACATACATTTGTCAAATCATTGTGTACAAGAGTTAAATAAGATTTAAGAAATGATTTTATATGAGACTATTTAGTATTTATGAACAACGTTGAGAGAAAATGTTATTAAGTCGAAACAATTATATTTGATTTCACTCAATTCTCTTATATTATCTTCAAAAGGAACATACATCTTGCATTTTTCTAAAATTGTTGTCATGTCCTCAGATTGAAACCTCCTGAATTTTATCAATGCAAGAAATACACCGTGATATTTTTCACCGAAATGAATCTGGAAGCTTCATAAATTCCAGTTGTTGAATGATGTCGAACAATTTTCATTAGCATATGTTATGAAGCCAATGTTTTATGCATAAGCTATTGCAAAGAAAATGAAAAGAAAAGAAAAAAATAATCTTACCGCTACCAATGACCTTGTCGTCCCATTGCACTACCGGGCGGACAAGAACTCCACTGCCAATTAGCATCATCTCGTCTGCTTGTTTTCCGTCCTCCACAGTTACATCTCTGACTTTTATTCCTTGAAGTTTCCCGTCCCTCACCAAACCTTCTGCAAGCACCAATACTCTCTTAGCAGTGCAACCGCTAAGAATTTTGTCAAAACTAGGCATTACAAGTTCCTTTTCCTTTGTGACAAAAGCCACGTTCATATTTGGCCCTTCAGCAATAAACCCGTCATCATCCAACCAAATTGCTGCATAAGCATCATTTTCTTCGGCTTCCATCTTTGAAAGCACATTTGGAAGATAATTCACACTCTTCATGACAGCAAATTGGGAGGGTTTTATAGGCACAGATGAAGTTACTACTTTGATACCCGTGTGATCGGATGATGATTGATCTTGAATTACTATGGCGTAAAGGGCTGATTGGTGACATCCGGACGGAGATAGCTGGAAATCACCGGGTCCAGCTGAAAGCCAATATCTTAGGGATCCTTTTCTGCACTTTGAAGCACTCACAGTTTGTATGAGTATTCTCCTAGTGCTTTCCCTATCGAAAGGAAGCTTTATCTTGGCCATGGTTGCTGACCTTAGAAAACGGTCAAGGTGTTGGTCCAACTCGTATAGATATCTGGGAGAAAAAAGTCTCGAAATATTTAATAATCCTCCAGTAAAGTTACTCATATGGAATTATAAGAGAAGAATCTAAGAATACCTTGTCAAACAAATTAAAGTCAAGCAATCAATGTAACGTTCATGAGCTATATGCGTAAGGATTCTCTCTACTTTGTATATGCCTTAAACATCAGAACTTGAGAAAAAACATAGTCAATATAAAAATTTTATGGGAAACAACAAGCTGAAAAAAATATAAAATTTAGAAGAATATATGGGTGCTCAAAATGGTCATGATTACAGATACAATTCTATTTTGTGGAGATAATATTAGATTGTGTGGAGCCTAACATACTGTTCATTTATCCCATTGGCTGCAGATCTAAGAATCTAATATTGGATATTCATATTTTGCAGTAGGCTACCTCAAAAATGTCTACTAATATAGAGAGATATGGAGACTAAGAGAGGAATGATATCTCCAATGTTAACTTCTCATATTTTTTAGCAAAAACTTACAAAGGCGAGTGGATGTTAGCTCTCATATTGAGGGTGAACCATTATATCTGTGCGTTCCTTTGCATTTTAAAGATTTTTGATTGCTTATTGTCGCTTGCAGAATTGGTGTTAAGATTTAACTTATCACCCATAAATACAGACAGAGAAAGTACAATATCTTGTACCACGTCTATAAATTCAAGTGACTGAAATTACTGACCCATCCATAATAGCAGCAGTGTCAAAAACTCCATGTCCTCTGTGGACAATGTGATCATCCAAGGGGATCACCATGACTGCTGGATCAGTTGTTATTCCACCAAAAACGCTAGAGAACATTGCCAAATACTGCTGCTTGCTTTTGTAAGTTTCCCGACTTGTTCTTAACCTTTCGATCACCTTAAAATTTATGCAAACAATTCATTATTATCATCAACCAACCAGTTTCTTATAATACTCTAACCTAAATTCAATGTCAGTTTGACTTAACACAGTTCTTTATGTCAGTTGAAAGTACGTGTCTTTTAGAGTTTTACGTTTTTGTCATTTGACATATTACATCAAGTGAAACATCGGATATTAAATTTAATTTGTAGAAAGTACTAAATTAACAATTATCCAAACACAGTTAAACTAAGAATGCCAGATTCTGATTTTCTGTTCTCCCATATATTGCATTGGTAAACAGAATCTCGATGAGCTGAACAAAACGAAATTGTCAAATTTCCTTCTTGGAAGCCTGGAAGCGGCCGATACCTTGTCATGTTTTATTATCTTAACTTTTCTTATTACATGCTTTACAGCTTTGGTGAATTAAGAAAACAAGATGTTAGCTTTCTGTCAGCACGCACATGTATATAAATAAACTATGTTGAACATGTCGAATATCTCATATTTGCAGATTAACCATTAATAATCAACTATTTTTACAATAATGTATGATCAATTTTTCATATTAGTAGGGTCATAATCAATAAGGAAATCTAGAAATGCTTTTCTCAGGCATGATCTTCCAATAGTGTATTCTCCAACAGTCTCATGCTACAACAAATAAGAGTTGAGAGAAGAAACCTCTAAGCTTGAAAGAAGTGGTACATCAGATATTTGAGTCGATTCAATTTCTGCACATCAGAAAATAACATTAGAATCAAGTAATGTTGGTGCCAAAGTAAGATTTTTATTTTTTCCGTATGCCACGAAAATTTAAGGAAGCCTGAGTTTCTGTGACCGGTGAGAAACCGGATAAACATGTTCAGATAATTTACTTCTTCTTGTTAGAAGTTGATTATCAGAAAGCATATCTTTTACTTTAACGTACTTATTTTCAAGTTTTGACTTATTTACTTACAAGCAAACTTTTTAAGCTTAGCCAGAGATGCTCTCTTGAAACAGGTGCTCACATTCCCACATAAAAATTAAGATCGTGAAATCAAATTAAAATGTTTCTAAATTTCATTAGAAGAATTGAAGAAAAACAGATAAAGGTCAAAACGATATGAAAATTTTCATTGTTAAACAGCAAATAGAATCAAAACTGATTCGCAATCAATCCACTTAGAACAAAGCATACCAGCAGGAGACTGAGTTTGACTTGAATTATTCATAGAATTTGATCGTGAAAACGAAAGCTTAACATTCCCAAATTGCAAAGAATGAAACCCATGACTTGAAAATGGGAGATTTTGAGAGGGAATATGCGAATTTTGCAAGTGATCAATCCAATTTCGAGCAAAAAATGAGGTTTCTGAAATAGGTGTTCTGATAGAAGCCATTTGGGTGCTGGGTGTTTGAAGCAATGAGATGAAAAATCTCGTTTAACTCCAAAATGGGATATCCATGGAGAAATTTGACGTCTCTCTCTCGATTTTTTTAATTTTTTTTTTTCTGGTTTTGAAATAGATTATTGAAATTTAAAAGATTCCTTCCACCCACTGATCGAGACAAGTTCGGCCGGCTGGCTGTGTCCGATTCTAATGTGTGGGACCGAGTAGTCAGGAAGGTGCTCGAATCTGATTTTTGGGTTGAAATAAGCCATTTGTACCAAACTGAGAATATTTATATGAATGATCTTCAACCCAAAGAAAAAACTACTGAAATTAATAATCCACATTTAAATCAACAATTTGAAACTCAACTGTTAGTCGGAGAGACAAGTAAAACTAATATTACTATAGATTGAACACAAGTTGAATCTGATGACGGAAATTTTGAATAGATGAAAGAACATGGAATAACAGAAGAATAAGAAAATTATAATTTTAGAAAAGGACCTAAGACTATACCAACTAAATCTATACATCTTAGGGATAATAATCCAGTTAAACTATTTACTGAACCAATTCCTACAACAGGAATATGGTTAGATGTTGATGATAGCAATAATAAAAGTGAGATTATTGACTCATGGGCAAAAACTACTGAATTAGTTATTGCTTTTCATAAATAGAATATCACTCAAGTTTATAACTTTATAATCCACATCTTTAGAGGAATTACTTTAGATATCTGGAGAAGAATAGCTGAAAAAACTAAAAATAAAATCAAATATGGAGAAAAATCTAACATTACTATTGATAACAATTAAAGCTTGATGCTCAAAACTATAAGAAAAGTTTAAAACGAATGAAAATTTTCTTTAGACACTTACTTTTAGAAGAAGTTATACCAAAAACTAAAATAGACATGATCACTCAAAAAGCCTTACAAGCAGAAAGAGAAGTTGAACTATTAAAAATTTGTGATATGTGTGAATTAAACGAATATACTAAAAAATTCGAAAATATATATATCAAAGCATATAAATTCATAAAAGAATGAAATCTACCAGAAGAAGATATAAAATTACTAAATAGATATTTTCTTAAACTACCCTACCCATGGGGTCAGAAATTATTTGAGAATTACCAAATTTATTGGAAGAAAATAGAATGGGAAGATCCTAACTATAAAACTGGTACATTATGAATGAGAACTTCATTCGCTAAGAGAAAAATATCTTAATGGTGCAGAAAATATCTGTACCAACACCTATTTAGAAACATGGTAAGAAAGCAAGTTTATGTTGTTATGGAGAAATAACAGTTGTACCACAATTCAGTTGTCACAAACTATCTAAAAAACCATATTATAAAAAGAAATTTAAGAAATATCATAAATCTTGAAAGATAAATAAATGATTTCAGAGTCATAATAAATATTTTAAGAAGAAAAAACATTGGAAAAGATAATATAACTAACATAAGAAATCTCAGAAGAAATCTAAGGAAGAATTTTATAAAAAATGCAAATGTTTTACATGTAATGAAATATGGCATATATCTCTCAACTGTCCTAATAGAAATAAAAGAGAAAATGTTAAAGCCATCAAATTAATGGAAGAAATAGAATCCGACTCAGATTATGAAATAATTGAAGACTTAGACGAATTATCTGAAACCGACTTAATCTATGAGTTAGATATAGAAAAAATTAAAGAAATAGAGTTTGAACAAATTTACATGAATCAAGAAATTATGAAAATCATTGAAAATACCTTAGATAATGAAGAATGAACTTCACAAACAGTTGTGTTTGATGAAGAAAGATATGGAGCCATAAAAGAAAAACATATATCTTTAAAGGATAAAAATGTTTTTGTAAGACCAATCTACCTTGATTTAACAAAACAATATACATTACCAAATATGATGAAGTACGTATTAATATCGAAAATGTTAAAGGTAACACTACTATACATCTAATAACCCGAAACTGGGTTAATAGAGAATTAGCTAAAATAAAACCTTCAACTAGAGAAAAATTAAAAAATATTGTGATCGGAGGATCGGAGGAGTACAAATCATGGTTAAATGATACTTCGGAGAATGAATAGATATCCATATACAAATGTACTTGATGAATAATAAAATACTTCACGATCCTATGGATGCTTTATTAGGAGTTGTCTTTATTAGACGAAAACTTAAGTTTATGACTAAATCTATATCACAAAATTGATAGATTAATTATGCCACTAATAAGTAAAGCAGTAATTTTACATTGTAAAGCTTTATATGCTTTTACTACTACGCACCAAAAAGAAATCAATAAAATCTCAGAAGACTTCATACAAATTCATGAAAACTTTAAAGACCCAACACAATTTACACCACCTAGAATGTTAAGTAATAATAACATTTCTTTACCACAAGATATATTGTTTGATTTTCATCAGCAATCTAGAAGAATAGACAATAATGTAGGAAATCAAGGATTAGTTACCTTGAATACCTCTGGACAACTTATAGTTAGAATGCCCAGTAGAAGAATAGAAAGAAGTATCAGCACTAGCGAACTCTCAAGCGCTAGTAAAACATCTACAAGTAGAAATTATCCAACAATGCCTAGAAATAGCATTGATATTGACCTTAGAAAATGTGAGGAAGATAAATAATTAGAATATATAAATAATCAAAATAATTATGAAGAAATTATAGCCCTTGTCAATACAGGAGCTAGTACCAGTCATATAATAGCAGATCTAGTTGATCATTTACTAGAAGAAGATTTACCACAAGAAGTAACTCTTACACACTATCATGAAATTAAATACGAAATTAGAACATTTGTTAATCTTGAACTAAGTTTTACTGACTTAGAAGGAGAACAATTTAAACTAAATCTTAAAATTCATAAAGATTATAGCAAAGGAAAAGATACTACTCCAATATTACTTGGAATGAACTTTGTTGAGGAAAGTCTCACCATTTTATATCCAAAAGAATACTCTACAAATAACTATAGAATGCAAACAAAAGATGATTCCTAGAGTAAATAAAAACAAGGAACCATTTTATATGATACAAGGAATAAGATCAATCAAAACTAACATACTTAGCCCATATATTGAAATAACTCTAAATTTACCAGACTACTGTATGATAAAATTTCATGATATACTTGATACCAGATCAGGTTTTGCCTATATAAAAGAAATGTGTTCCCAGAACACTATTATAAAAGAGACTATAAGAAAACAACTTATGGTCAAACAGCCAGTGATATTGTTGAAATCTATAGAGATTTTGTAGAAAATGTTCCTATTATTATTGGAAATAGAGAATGTTTTATTCCACGAATATATGTAACAGATAAAATTGGATGTGATATCCTTTTATGAGAAAATTTTATTTATACATATAGCACATTTACACAATATAAATATAGTTTTGAATTTACTACACCCTGTAATCACAAAATTAAAACACCAAAAATTTTAAAAGCCATTGGCATTGCACATCAACCAATTCACCATAAACCTAAATATCAGAGTTCTACAGGTAATCGTGGTGAATGTTATACATAAATTAATCAAAAACAAAAAATTTCAGTATTAAGAAATGAAAACTTAGAAGAATAATTAGAAAATGTTAAATCAAAACTAAAAGAATGTTATCATGAATACCACTTAGTCAAATGGGACAAAGATAAACATATTACAACCATTGAACTAAAAGATCTAGATGTTAAGATATCAGGAAAACAATTCCATTATAGCGAAGAAGATAAAAAAGAGTTTGAAATCCAAGTTAAAGAACTCTTACAATTAGGAGTTATAAGATAATCAATCAGCCCACATAATAGCCCAACATTTATGGTCAGAAACCATAGTAAAATAAAAAGAGGAAAAGTTAGAATGGTAATTGATTATAGAAACCTAAATTCTAAGGCCCTGTCTGGGCATGATTCTGGCCATGAAAAATTGATTTTTCAACCGTTTTCTTCTGACACATTAGACACAATTCAGCAGCTACTTTTCTCATTTTGTGACCGTTGCTTCTCTCAACGGTTAGAAAATCAATTTTCCTGCCGTTTACAATTGGAACCAGACAAGGCCTAAAACTATACTAAATAACTATAAATTACCAATAAAAGAATTGTTAATAAAACAAATACAATGAAGTAAAATATATTCTAAATTTGATTATAAATTTGGATATTGGCAAATAAAACTAGATGAAGTATCAAAACTTTTAACTAGTTTTACACCCCTAATCCATTAAGACAATTCGAAGAGTGAAGCATCAAAACTTTTAACTTTTAGCCGTGTGTAGGCGTTTGAGGTGTTGTTAGAGAAATCCATGAGAACCCTATTACCATTCAAGGTGATGTTTTAACAAGGAGTTGAAAGGAAAACTGTGATTCCGTGCGATCCATTGTAAGATATGCAAAAGAGTTAGAGAGAATCAGTAAGAGTATCGAAGTCGTGTTGGACCTAACCCACTTTCTTAAACTCAAACATAACCGATCACTTATATCCGAGTATACAAACATATGGGAGCAAGCTCGAGAGAAATCTCATTGATATTAATATGTCTTTACCTTCTGCTTCAATATTGTAAGATCTTTATTATTTATGTTACATACTTGCATTAATATTTGCACTCCTGCTATTTATGAAGTTTTAGTTACTTTTATTCAAAGATTAGAAATTGACTGCGAAATAAAAAGAGAATAAATTAAATCATTTTATACTGTACTTGATTATTTTCTTTAAAATAATAAAAAAATACATGTGCCTTTATATTGGAAAGAAAATATAGTTAGAATTAATAGAAAATTAATAAAATAGAAAATAAAATTAGAACATTAAACGGTTATTTTGATAAAAGATATATAGATAAATACGAGTATAATTGACTTTTCCATTTATTATGAGAAATAAATCAAAGTTATCCTATATTGGGAATAGAAAACTTTGATTTAACTAAAGAATATAAGAAATACATTTAAGTCTTTTAAATTTCTGCCAGATCACTTTGTAAACCTAATTTGTCAAGCCACTTTGTACAAGTAGAATTGTCGTGCATTTCATTCCGCATCGGTTCACATAGCTGCTTGATATGTATCAAATGTTAACGTGTTCGATCCCAATTTTTTTCAAAATTCATTTCCAACCACACAATTTCATACGTAAATTTAAAAAAATTTCATACTTCTTAATCGTAGATTTTAAAAAATCACTAATAAAAATACATTTTTCCAAAAAATGATGCTCAAACAGGAGTTCATGTTTAGAGTAGTTAAATTTTGAAATTTAGTAGATTTCAATAAAATACGATATTAAAAAGCAATGAATTTATAAAATGTCTGATTAAAATTAATTCTTGACATTGATTTATATTTTTATCTATTTTTTAAGTTATAAACCAAACAAGGACTAAACAAACAGAGCAATGTTGTGTGTACAAAATTGGATTAATTGATGTAAAAATGTGTTCGGTTATCCACATTCAATACACAGAAAGCATACATTCATCTAACGATTCAATTAAGTCTAGACAAGTAATTGTAAAGAACAAATTTCAATCGATCTCTTAGGATATATTCTCCTTACCATTTTCAAACCGTTTTCTATTTTTGATTTTTCAAAACAGTGAAAACGCGTTCTCTTTCTTATTTTCGAAAACGCGTTTTTGAAAACAAATTAAAAATTTACAAAGAAAATCCAACAAATTTGTCGTTTTGGATGTTTTCAATTATAATCAAACCAAAATTTTCAAAAAGCATTTTGGGTGTTTTCAAAATGCCAAAAAGAACATATTTTCAACAATCTCAAAATGGACACTAAAAACATAAAATTCAAAATGAATTCAAAACTCAAAACACAAAACTAAAAAAAAAAAAAAAAAGAACAGTCCTTGGCTTCATTTGGAAAGAATTTGTAAACAATTTATTTATATCCCTACTAATATAAAAGAGGCAATCCGCTGGCTACTGTTCATTTGTGAAGTATTTT